CACAATGGTTACAAGGTTGTCATGTTGACTGACCCCGTAGTGAAAGAGTTAACCATGTAGATATATAATAGCGCAAGTTTTTGTTATTCCTATGACTGGAACATGTCAGTTTAATTTTACTTGTGTGTTATTATATAATTTTTAACTTTTATCAGTTTCATTTTTTGATGTGTGTCATTGCATAATTTAACTTTTTAACATATATCTGTTTCTGTTTTTCATGTGTGTCATTACTCAGTTTAACTGTTTGGTAGAGGGCTGGAATCGGTTGCACAAATGCACTAGTTAGATCTGTTTGTCTTGATAAGGAGTTGTCATGTGAGGTCTTCCTGGTCTTGGGAAGTCTGTTGAACTTTTAGTATTTTCATACTGTTGGCATAAATGCCCAATCATTGAATGGTTGACATTCAGTATTTCTTCTATTTCTCTGCTCTGACCAGCTTGGAGCATATCAATGGCCATATCTCTTTGTGACTGAGTCAGTTGTTACATCATGAATGCTGTGAATTTCATTTGTTTTGTGGTGCCTTTTTAATGACTCTGGTCACACCATTTTGGGATGTGGTCATTGGAATGGTTGTATTGTCTTATATGGAAACAGTGGACAAACAGCAGATTTGTACACTTCATTTGGCTCACCAACTACTGAAGCATCACCGTCAGCATTTCATTGTTTAATTCAACAAACAAACCTAATGTCATAATTTGGATAAATTTTGTTTTGCAACAAAAAAACGTTCATTTTTAATTTCTCTGGCTCTATATTGGTTGTTGTTTTTCATGTGTGTCATTGCTCAGTTTAACTTTTTAACATTTGTTTCCTATTTCAGTTGCATGGAACATCCAGTGTGAACTTTGTCTTCTTACTGTAGATATTTCCTCAGATCTTATGGCAGCATTCAGTAAAGACAAAACTTGTAAGTAAGCATTTTTTTATTAAACATTGAAATTTACTCTGAACTGTTTTTGTAATATTTAAATTTTCTTGTGGAATTCTATAATTAAGTGAAATTTGGTGATTGAAAGTGTCTCATGATTTTTTTAATTGTAAAAACTTAGTTTTAATTTTTTTAACTTTGTAGGTGTGTTTTCTTCTTATACTGTGAACAAAATAAAAATCTTGTTATGCGCAATGTTTCTATTATATATTTTACTGCTACTTACTTCAAATAAAATGATCTGTAAAAAAATCAATAGCTAAGCCTTATTGTTACTAGGTAGATAAAACTTGTCAATATGAGAAGACAGATGTAATTCAAAACTTGTTATTTACATGTGTTTCTTGTTTCTACCTGAAATACCTAAAAAATAGTATATCAAAGAAGAGAAAATTTAACTAATATCTTAACAACTTAAGTCCTTTAGAGTAGGATTATTTTTTAAATCGTAAAGATGGTTAAAATCTATGTACTTGAGAGTGATCGCACTGGGGATCAAAATGCCATACCTATTTAAATAAAATATTCTTCCTTACTGTACAAGCTGTAACTTGCAAAGAAATACTTATAACCAGTAAGTAAACTAAAATGAACTAATTTCACTGGTGTTTCACATTTACAAATCTTGAAAGACAGAAACATGATTCGAGTGTCTTTGGAAAGTAGTTTTTCTGACAGACTTGGCTAGATGCAGAATGTGGTGTGGTTTCAACATGTACACAGTTTTCATATATTAATAATATACATTGTTGATGTGTATACAAGTATGCAAATATAAACCTAATTAGAACTACAGAAAGTATGTACATTTGTCAAATACTTAATATTACATAGGTTGCTTTGGGGACACGTCTTGTACATGCAAGTTAGTATCGTTGGTAGTTGATTTCACTTCAAAAACCTGTATATGTAAAAGTTTTGTTCAACATTGTATATCAAAAGCTAACTTAAATAACCTTATCCATCATTTCAAAGGTATTTTCCTTTCAAAAAAATATTGTTAAAAGCCATCTGTATCCTATCAAATTTTATGTGCAAGATTTTTAGCATTATATTAATTGGAAAAATTCCATTTTGTTTTCAAGGATATAACTGATGGTATATTTATTTAAAAACAACTCCCATTCATTTTCACAAAATGGGTAAGACTGTTTTAGATGAACAATGTATTACATCTAGGTTTTGATTTCCAAGAAATAATTATGCTTGCTGAATTAATAGTTGTTTAAGGACATCTCTACTTTACTGACATACATACATACTTAAATACACACACACACACACTTATACATGAAATATTACAATAAAATGACCAATGAACATTCTTCATCTGTTTGGTGTCTCTAATTGTTGTGAGAAACTGGCTGACCCAGTTCTAATCTAATTGAATGTCATAGAGTAACTCAAGAGGACATTTCAAATATTTTTTGAAATGGGTAAGCATTTGGGTGAACTGTTTGGTAGCCATTTTAAGTTTTACTTCTGTAATGCCAAGAATGAGGGCACAACTGAGTGAGTAGGTCGTAGTTGACATACATGAAGCTGGTATCAAATAAAAATGGGATTTAAAATCACACTTAGCATGAATATCTTTGCATCAGACAAAAATAAATTGTGCACTACTGTTCAGAGCAGTGAAAGGGGGTTGTCCGTGCCCCCACCCTCCCCAATTTATAACACTGTTTCTAAAGCCCAGAATGGATAAGTGCCTTTGTCAGTTCATCTGTGTTTAAACATATGGGGATAATTTATGATGTAAAACGTTGTGTAGTGATATTATGGTCAAGGTTGTTAAGGATATTTATAAGTGAATCAAAAAGCAAGTCAACATTCATTGTGCAAAATGAATTATTTTAAGAATAAAAAAAAAATCATTTTGTGATTGAAGTATGTTAAATGCAATTTTAAATACAACATAACAGTTAAATTATTTACAGCTCAATTTTTCTGCAGTCAGTTTATTTGTAGTTGACTGAATGAAGTAATTACTGTTCACATCTAAAAGTGTCACAAGAAGTAGTTTTTCTTGTTGTCTCAAACTTCCAAACCTTAAACATTTATGATTGAGTAAGAGGGTGGACAACTTGTATTATTTTAAGTTCTTTATATGAAATAAAACATCAAGACATCCTCTGTATTAGTATTTCTTTTTTATAGTGTATATCTTCAGACCTAGCAACCCTGAGCCTGTATATATTCATGAAAATGTTACTTCTGAGCCAGTTCTTGGTGCAGCATTTATTCCAAAAACAAATTTTCCCAGTGGTGACCTCTGGTGGCAACACAACAGTCAGCTGTACTTCATGACAGAGAAACAGGTATGAGTTAAGGCAATAGTATAGTGTGGGAAAAAATTAATTATTATGTTGAATATCTTTGTAGGGAAAGGGAAAGATGTCCAACAATAAAGTTAATGTTATATTAACATTTTAAAGTCATAGGTTTACATGCTTTAACACCTAGCATGGCCTGTTATTAGGGCACTCAACTCTCAATATGCAGATCTTTGGTTCATATTTCATCATCAAACATGCTCAGCTGAGATGGAATTGAAACATGACAGTCAGTCCCACTATTTTATTAGAGTAGCCCATAGGTTGGCAATGGATGGTGTTGACTAGCTACCTTCCCTCTAGGCTATCACTTCTAAATTAGGGATGGGTAGTGCAGATTGCCCTCATGTTGCAAAGTTCATCACAAGAAACAAAAAAGATGCCTTAAGATTAACTCTCTTCCAGAATACTGCTCTCTCAGGAACTTCATCTCAACTAACCTTAGCATTATTGTTTATCAATAAGTTATATCTTGCAATATAGGATTGGTTAGGTAGCATTTTGCTATAAAAATTTAAAATTGTTTGATATATCTGTTAAAAAAGTGAATAACTGATACATACCAAAAAACTTGATCTGAAATGTAACACCAAAATTTTAATTTCTCTTAGTTATATCATTAAAAAAGTAATGTATTTGCATGCATGGAAATCCATTTACACTTTATTAAACTACACTAAAGTGAAATTTAGGAGTAGGGAGAAGTAAATGTAGAGAGTACTATGCACCACAAAGACAAAACTCTGTCAGAGCCCTATCTCAGACAGCAATGTTTATGTGCTAAGGTTTTTGTGTGTGAAATTGTTCCTTTGTTTATAGACACTTAGAGTATTATTACCAACAGGCTTTTCAGTAGGAACATCGGAGCAATATCACTGAGTTTTAATACTTGCTCCCAATATCCAAGTTTGAGAGCATTACTAGATTTGGTGTCTCTTACTAGAGAAGACAGTCAGTCAGTTAGTTTGTCATTTTCAATCAGACCATTTAGCTCAAAATGTCTTTTGTACTAGAGGTGTTTGGTGGATATCACATGTTGTGGAACAGTTTTAACCACTTAGGTTTAACCTTGCAGTCATTGAGATGCCCAACACAGCCATCAGATTCAGAACCCTGTGTACCTAACCTCATACGTAAGTAATCTAGCCAGGTCACTTAACTGTAAGGCAGCAGAAGTGATCTTTATTTGTTTTACATTTTATAAACTTGGTGCATTCAAATACAAAATACTACAACCAAAAAAATGTTTTGTATGCATAATGCAAGTTTTTCTCCCTTAGTATTCTATTATAAAACAGTTTTGGTAGCTTAGGGTAAAGAAAGAGGTTTTTTGGCATTAAAATATATTATGTTTATATATATATCGCAATACTGTTATCAGTCCTAGTTGTCAGTTTTGGTAGCTTAGGGTAAAGAAAGAGGTTTTTTGGCATTAAAATATATTATGTTTATATGTATATCGCAATACTGTTATCAGTCCTAGTTGTCAACTTATTGTCATAACGGATAATGTCTATGGTAATAGCACCCAAATGCAGTGGAAGGCAGTAGAAGCTGAGACATTGTGGGTGTAAGCACTCAGCTTCATGCCCTTATTTGATTGATGTGATTTTCCATAACAGCTGACTAGATTTACATTGGTGCTTGGATATTGTTTGATAGATTGGATATCCCCAACGCATTTGGGTGCTATTACCACAACATTATCCGTTATGACAATAAGTTGACAACCAGGACCGATAACGGTATTGAGATATTTAATTCATTATTGTTTTATAGTGCTGATTTAATCCCCTATAAACAATTAATGTAATCAATAGTTTGTAAGTTACTTATTTATATATATATACACAGCGTGGTCACAAGTAAATAGACACCACATTTTCAGAAGAAATGAAATTT